ACATTTGAATATATTAAGTGCTCAAGTAGCTTGCAGGGGACACTGGTTAGAGATATAGGACGATAATTTGATGGTGAAGTTCGATCCCCCGATTTGTGTATGGGGACCACTCTGCCAATTTTCCAATCTGTAGGAAGCTCGCCGGAAGACAAATATTGTTGGAAGATTATTAACAAAAAACGAGCTGAGTGAAATTTAGTGTTTTTCAGTAATTTGGAATTAATTTTGTCGTTCCCAGAACTTGACGATTACTGTAACCTTTCTATAGAGTTTGTGATACCTGCATACATTTTGAAAAACAGCGCGAATACCACACGGACAAGAAGGAGGAACACACAGGACGAGGCGCTGTGTGTTCCTCCTTCTTGTCCGTGTGGTATTCGCGCTGTTTTTCAAAATGAATTCATACCAACTCGCCCAACTTTCCATTCTAGTATACCTGCATACGTTATTTCAATGGCAGCCATGGGAGTGTGATATGAGTTGTTAAGATGAGGCATGCTACTGTGGTCATCTGTGGTGAAGACTGAGGTGAAATAGTCGTTAAGACTGTTGGCGCTTTCTTTATCAGATAATGGCAACCGATCATCGCTCATTAGTTGCAAAGGTCTAGACATTTTTTAATTAATTACCTCCCAGAATTTTTTAGGTTTATTGCGAAGAATGTTTACTAAGTCATTGTTAAAGAATTTTGCCTTCGCCTCTGTAATAGATTTCTTATAAATTTTAGCAATATCATTGTGCCGTTTCCAAGCGAGATCGGTAGTCAGTTGTTGGCACGGCTAAATAGTCTTTTCTTTTTTCTGTTTAGTTGGTTAAGCGATTTTGTGAATCAGGGATTTGATTTGTCACAAGTTATGTTTATTGATGGGATGTAAGTGTCGGCAAGGTGTGCAAGTTTATTTCTGAAGAGAATCCAGTTTTCATCGACTGTCCTGCTCATAGAGCCGTGCTGAAAACTATCCAAAAATATTTCAAGCTGATTGTTAATTGCGGAGTAATTAGATTTATTATAGTTTTTAATGGTTTTAAAATATGGTGATTTCCGCTGAGTTTCAAATTCAATGTTGAAATGATTTACGTCATGGTCACTAATGGGTGGGTGGTATGTTATATTTTAACAAGTGTAGTGTCAGTAGTGAGGCATAGATCTAAAATATGACTTGTTCTTTGGGTTGATCTGGTAGGTTGAGTAATCAGCTGCGATAGATTAAATGTACGACATGTGTCAATGAGTTCTCATGAATTATGAGTCGAGAACGAAAGAGTATCCCAAATGATGTCAGGACAATTGAAGTTGCCTATGAGAATGCATGATGCGTTTCGGGATTGGTTGAAGATCAAAGAGAGCGCGTCATGAAGCTTATAAAAAAAACCATTAACAAAGTCGGGCGGTCTATAGCACACCCCAAGGAAGATACACGCGGGGGGGTAATGCAGCCGTAGCCATACCATTTCAAGGCAAGTAGGAATTTGAACAAAAAAAACTACAATATGATTCCGTACAGCAATTAGTACTCCACCCCCACGTCGGAACTCTCTATCACACCTATAAATATTGTAATTAAAACTCGTGGGAAACACTTCAAAGTCTTTTATGTCAGGTCTTAGCCATGTTTCCGTTAGGAAAACAAAGTCGGCGGCACAAGACTCAGTTAATAAATGAAGGTCTTCACGCTTTGGCAGTATACTTCTTATGTTAATATAAAGTACAGAAAAATAACTTTTTTTTTAATCTGGGGGCACTGAGGTGAGTCTCGATCACACAGATGTTATGGATACCTTTCTTCCACAACCCTCTTGCTTTCAGGGTCATAAAAAAAATCTGCGTTCCGATTGAAAGTTTGTTAAATTTTAGTTTAAACTGTTTATTTCGGGGCCTGGGAAACTGTAGGAGCTCTCGACGAGCTTCACGCACGGCAGGGGAAAAGTCTTCGCCTACAAAAAACGTGGTACCATTGAACTTGTAAGCTTTCCCTAGTATTAGGTCCTTTTGCTCTGTTGAGCAAAACTTTACAATGATAGGGCGTTTTTTATTCGGACCGAAACGATCGATCCTGTGGGCACGTTCAATGATGCCAGGTATTCAGCGCTTCGGGCTCCGGAGTGTATCCGTCGATGGTAGTCGTCGTTCCTCGTAGTGTCCTCCTGCAGCCAAGGTGTCCAGCCGTTGGGTCGTCATGGCACCACTCCAGCGTGGCCACCCTGAACTGCGAGCGCTCATCGAGCACCTAGAGGGCAAGCGAGTGCGGTTCCCCGTGCTTTTTACGAATCCTGCCTGCCTTCTCCGTACATCAAGGGGTGCTGTACAAAGAGAACTTCGTCAATAATCACACAGCGTGACTGTTGGTTATTCCTTCCAGTTTTCGAGAAGAAATCTTCCAAGAATGCCATGACGACCCAACGGCTGGACACCTTGGCTGCAGGAGGACGCTCGCCAGGATTCGAGAAAAGTACCACTGGCCGAGGCTACCTAAGACAGTTCACCTCTACACTCTCTCATGCCACGAGCGTCAGCGACGCAAGAAACCGCCGACGAAGCCGTCGGGACTTCTGCATTTCATTTCGCCCCCGTCCACGCCGTTCCAGCAGATTGGAATGAATTTACATGGCCCTTTCCCGCCGTCAACGTCAAGAAACTGCTGGATAATCGTCGCCACAGATTATCTCACACGATACGCCGAGACTAAAGTCCTTCCATCAGGTACGGCAGTTGAAGTCGCCAAGTTTTTCATCGAGTCCATTTTCCTCCGGCACGGCGACCCCCAAAGTCCTCATTACAGATCGTGGATCATTGTTCATGGCCCAGCTGGCGCAAGAGCTCCGTCTCAGTGGCACCGGTCACTGTCGAACCACTGCTTACGATCCGGAGACAAATGGACTAACAGAACGGCTAAACAAAGCTATCGCCGACATGATCGCCATGTATGTCGACATAGAGCACAAGACATGGAACAAGGTGTTACCCTACGTCACGTTTGCTTACAATACGACGGAGCAAGAGACCCCAGGAGTAAACCCGTTTCAGCTGGTGCATGGCAGAAAAGTAACGACCATGTTCGACGTGATGTTACCCCACGAACCGGCTGACAATGAGATCCCCGACACCCAGGTGGTTGCTCAACGAGCCGAAGTTCGCCAGCTCGCCCGTCTCCGAATTCAAGATCGACAACGTGTCCACGCTATGCGTACAACCTTCGCCGGATCGACGTTCGCTTCAAGGCCGGAGGCTGTGTGTGGGTTTGGACCCCGATATGACGACACGGTCTTAGCGAGAAACTCCTAAAGCGCTACTTCGGAAACTATAAAGTACTTCGTCGACTCGGGGATCTGAGCTACGAGGTGATGCCCGACGGAACACGGACTTCATCACGCCGCCCTCCACGACCGGAAGTCGTCCACGTCGTGCGCCTCAAGCCTTTCTACGCTCGATAAGAGTGCGAACTGTGATCTTGCGGACACTTGACAGGATTGTGTTTTGCCAGCCTCCGTATTTTTCCATTCTTTTGTTTTTCTTGCTCTGCTGTGTTGCCTTTCACTTGTTATCGAGACGATGCCTTTTTAAATGGGGGAGTAATGCAACGCGCGTCGGCGGGCGACCGCGTGAGTGGTCGAGTGGTTACCGCGCTTGAGTGTCGCGCGTAAAATCTAAGTTCGATTCCAGTCGGTGGAATGTCCTTTTATTTATTCTGTCAGCATTGCTTACTCGTGAGTTCGAGAACATTCTCGACTGATCGAGTCCCGAATGTTCTAGCCGCCGAACGTTTTTTGCCGATTGTTCCAGAAGCCAACGCGCGTACATAAGGGGCTCCGAGTAGCGATCGGGAGTCAGTTTTGACCCATCGTTCGACTCTGCTGTGACGCCGACTTCAACGCCCGCGACGCACTGCTTTCTTCTGTTCCCCTTTTTTAGTTTTGGGCACAAGTTCGCCACATTAAACATTTAGTTTTTTCAGTTATTATCGCTTTATCACTAGTCATTCGTGACAATATCTCTGTAACGTAGTAACTACTCTTTACTTTTTCAAAACAGCAACGCGTCACGTAGCTGAGTTACTTATTTCGGGAAACGGGTAATCTAAGTACGTCACTCGTTACGCCTTGCTCACAATATTTGAAAAATATTAGACCTTATTTTTATGTTTCTTGTGCCAAGGCATATGTATCCTTGCACTTATCGTACATACCTCCAATATTGAAACTGTAAAAAGATAAAGTAATTATATAGAGCTCTGAATGGACATAATCTTTCTTGCAGAGTTGGGCTTAAATAGTATCAAAAATACTTGGGAAACAAATACTGGAATACGTGCCAAAGAATTCTAAAATACTCATACTGAAATACAGTTATACGAAATGGTATCGCTCGACGTATTAAAAATATATTCTAACATATATAACTATTTCAAAATACGAATAGAGAATTACACTTTGAAAGATTTACACACACTGAAGACACTTTTGTGAATATGACATTTATCGCTGTTGTTATACTTCGTAGAACTGGTTGTGCACGTCCGTTAGTCTAAACTAAAAAGAATGAAGCATATAATATTTGCAATACCATAAATAATTATCTCAAATGTTACTTGAAACCAACTACCAAGTACTCACTTTAAGTTTCTGCCTAATTTACCACGTGGACGCTCTTTCACTGAAAACGAATTTCTCGTAAAATCAACACTTGGTATTTTGCGTAGAGAAACGTTAAGTGAGCAGCATTTTGTTTTAATTTGTTGAAAAACGCATTTTACTTTCCAGAGGAAAGTGAAATGCATAGTTTCCTATTTTTTCTTTTTCCAAGTCATAATTATTAATTATTCATGAAGCTTTCGCTACAAACACTGTATTATTTGTTCTACATAAAAAAAAAGTCTTGATCACTCTTTTTTCTTTACTCAGAAGCAAGTTGCCAAAAGAAGCCCTTCCCTATCTAAATAGAAATTTCATCTATATGCGCAAAGCGAAGAAAAGTAAACTAAACTGCATTGAAATCTTTATTATTCTTGATGAATCCATTCGTTTTTCATGCTTGACACAGGTCGACTTAACGCGTAACGCATTTTGAAAGAAGGCAGACCTGAAACAAGATGGAAATAGTTAGCTATTTTTTCGACAAAAAGACCCTTTGACAAGGTATAGTTAACTCGCAATTATTGTCGATGTTTTATTCTGTTGCAAACCATAGTCGCAGCGAACAAAGCAAAAATGTTAGTCACTTTTTCGTATTTTTGCGCGTTATACATTTTCTAAAACATTTCATTTGGCAAGCAGAAAGAGTTTACTGGGGTTGCTTTCTGGCAATTTTATTTAGGTTTGGTTCGATAGACTCCTGTTTTCTAGATTCGGCGGCTTCAAAAAGGTGAACAAAAAAATTCATACCAGTAATAAGCTCACCCATAACAAGCTCTATCAGGCATTTGCAGTTTAAGTGTTGTGAGTGTTCGGGTGTGAGTGTGTGTGTGCGGTCGCCTCGGGGTAAAAGGCATTTACATTGAATATGCCTTTGTTTGATTTGGTATTTATGTGTTTTACGTGTACAGAAAGTTCTTGAAGTTAAAACACGCCATACAAAAGTTATGTGCTGAAATTTTTAGAACCAAGATGTTATCTGATGCGGATCCACCAGGTTGATGTGTTACGTCGTCAAACTCTGCAAGATAAGTATATATGTTGTCCAGTCGTGTCTGTTCCTGTTATCGTCCTCGTTTTTAGAAGCTTTTACAGCCATTATGTCAAATTTAACAATTCTTGAAACTAACAAAAAAATTAAAGGAAGACTGGGATTTATTTGGTTGACCTTCTGAATTGAAGGTATTCCCAGAAAGTCAATAACAATATTGCCTCCACATTTAACAGACATACAAACGTGATCTCACGCCTTGCACTCACGAACGCACAGACATATGCATGCGCTCATGTTTACATGTGCGTTTGCGTTCGCGATTAGACGCGAACGCAAACGCACGTAAAAATCTTGGAAATGAATATTCTATAGGACGATAATATTACACACTTTTAAAGGAATTATCATAAATCCGTGAGGTAGCCCTTGCACATTTAAAGTGTTGTCTTTTTTACTTGGCGCCTTTTACAGCTTATTAAAGGGTAGCTCCGGTACATTTTCTCGATTTTAGGGTTACAGCAATCTTATTAAAGGAAGTGTCCCTGAAATAAGAGGTGCGATTATTTTATGCCTCGTGTAATTCTGTACATATCCTAAGCAAAGTTTTATTTCGGGGGTCAACGGCGAAACCGAAAGTACCGACATTGCCACGATGGCAACCCTTGTGATTAGCTGCATGGTCACTGTGTGGCGCCAAGTTAGTTTTGCGGTTACTCAAGACGTACGACTCGCCTAGTCATAGGAGCAGTTTTGATAAGTCAGGTAAGATGCTACGACTGCTATACTGGTTTGCTTTGCAGATATCAAACATCTCTAGTAAATACTAAGGCACATTTCTTGCCAAAATAAATTATGGCGAATTGCTAAGCAAAGGTGTTGCATACGTTAAGCTTTCTAGCATCACAAAATGTTTAGCGACACTGTTAGTTTCCGGCCGCCAGAGGCCTACGTTCATGGGGCTGATATAGATTAAGGCGTACCAGGTGTACACTTGATATTTCTTTCTAGAATGAAGCGATAATACCTCTAATCGGGCTATATTATGCCTGGCGATTTTTCAGAGATTTCCATACTGTCGAGCTCATCACTCTCTGTTCGCACAGGTGGTCGAGCTCCTCTTCGCCTACCCCAATGGTCACGTCACGTTCCCGTTAACCAACCATCGTGATTCACCTCACTTGTCCTCTTCCACCCGTCAACCCGTCAGTTTGGAGCCTTGAGGTAACGTTTTAATCCGAGCTTCAGGAAATGCCGCACATAAAAGGTTTCACGCTAAAAACAGCTTGCCATGATGAATCCAGGTTCAGAATGAGCCCCCACTTCTCATCTCAGAGCCATAATCTTGGTGATGTGCGTAGTGCGTTGCATAAGCGCTGTGCAAACTAATCCTATGATTGCGCTCAGCAGGAACGGACTAAGCTATGGCCGCCAGGTAGTACCACATTCAGAACCACGACGCGCTTGACCAAACACGGAGTCAATAATCGTCTTGAGCGATAGCCGTGGAGCGTAAACTGTCAACTTGTACTGTGAAACATACAAACCTTGTGAGCAGAAACAAAACTATATTTGTGATGACATAGTGACTGAAATGATGACACAGCATGATGACGTACTGACTGACATGATGACACAGTGACTGAACGTCAAACAGTAGTAGCGATCATAGGACATAAATCATTCTATATCTATACTCTCACAATATGGTGTCACCCCGTCTTACAGGTAAAAAAATACCTGAGAAATAATTTTGCTCTAAAATATACACAAAAGGTGAATTCACTCCATACTACCAAAGAACGCTATCTCCTCCATCCTGTGTTTCTCGCCCATGCTCTTAAACTAAGACGAGCGCTGCTTTGCTGATTTCTTCTTTCTTTGAGCGTGTTTGTTCCTACTCGTGGTAATATGCCTACAGTGCTGTCGCATTCGTATGCTGATGTAGTAGTGGATCAACTGGGCAATTGTTTCTTCTTTGTGTTCGGCGCATGGAAATGTTATTGTGCTTCTGTCGAGAACACTGTCGATAGTGTCCCAGTAGACAGTCCGGTCGCGCGATTCATGGTTCCACGCGTAAAAGAAACTGCAGAAACTTTGTCCGGCTGACCAAACGCAGGGTTCTGCTACACCAAGGCCACGAAAGTTTTGGCAGTGTTCCTCCCGAAGATGGAGTAATCAAACACGTTGTAGGTTGCTTTAAAGTGGCAGTGAGATTTTGAACATTTTTACCATTGCTCACCCTCATTTACAACTTCAACTGATCTTTCTTCTTCATCGTCGTACTTTTTCTTACCCCTCCCCCTTCTGCCCAGTACACAGTAGCCAACCAGAACCTATGTTTAGATTAACCTCCCTGTGCTTGCTAATAAACCCTTCATTCTCTCCCTCTCTCTTCAGTACACTTCCGAGTCTGTGTCAAAAAAAAAAAATCCGTCAAAATGGCTATAATGTACTTGAGTGTTTTGCACGAACGTTGAGTGCGTGAAGGCATCTCCAAACACCCCTACAAGAGCCGCAAACTTCGTCGGTACTACGACAAAGCCTTCTCGAGCAGGGCCACACCTGTTTCACTGCCATGCCTTGGGTCAGTAGAGTTAGTGGCTCTTTGCGCGAAGACTATCACGGTGTTCTCTCACGAACTGTGCGTAACAGCGGCGTACGATTTTTTATCCCGGTAGCAAATTGCGATTTGTCTTTTGGACAAAGGTTTCACGATGCGAAGTTGGAGTTCCGCTGCACTGTGGGGTGACGAACAGGTTCACTCCGTCCGCGCTGGCGTCCTATCGTCGTCTCGCTCGTGTGAATGCACTTGGGAGACGGACTAACCGCGGACATGTCGTCACGTGATCAATCCGCCCGCGCATCAGTCCGCCGTGTGAATCGGCCATAAACGGCCTTTTTTAACTTGCCTCCCCGAACATTGTGTTGGTTGGAAAATAAATGAATTCTTATTTAATCACCGGCGACAAAAGCTGAGTCCATGGCTGCTGAGTGCGCGCTAGATTCAAGCGTCCGCAGTTTTTTTTTCAACGGGCATTCCGCACCATCAATTTTATCGCTGTTAAAAGCCTATAGGTGTGGAAACTTGGGTGAGTTGGTGATTCATTACTAACGAAAAACAGCGCAAGACACGGAGGAGGAGCGACAGGAGTAGACATGACAAGCGCTGACTTAAAACTGGATTTTAACATAAAGAAATATAAAGCAGTTGAAAAACACAAAACACTGCTTATATACCTATGTTACCAAGGTATTTAAAAACTCGCTTCAAAACGACCTACGTACGAAATATTGCTCCTAGACAAGGCGATGGACGGAAAGCTGACACACATGCCCTCTCTTGCATCGTGACATGGTGAGCACCTCGGCTATTTGCTTGATCTTTTTATTAGTGTGCGGCGTCACAATTCATTGTTTGTAAAGCGTGGAAAACACCCGTACTTGTCACGGTGTACCTCCCAATGGCCGCCAAGGTATCCCTGTAAGGTATTCCTCTTCCGGACATATGGCGGTGCACAGTGACGGGTACGGGTGTGTTCCACGATTTACTAACACTTCGATAGGGACGCGGCAAACTAATCAAAGTAATGGGGGATTGAGGAGGCCTTCAGCATATCAGGGTGCGAGGAGGGAGTGTGTATCAGCCCTCGGTCTATTGCTTTGTTTAGCAGAAAGATCATGCACATGTGTCGTTTCGAAGCAAGCTTGTAAATACCCTTATAAGTTAGGCATACAGAAAGTGTTCGGTGTTTGTGGTGGTTCGATGGCTTTATGTTTCTTCATATTAAATGTCAGTTCTAAATCGGGGCTTGTCGTGTATAGGTTTTCCAACTCTCTTCGTCATTTTTGCGCTGTTTTTCGCTAGTTATCACCCTGTAAATGTGTGATCTTTCAGTGCATGTACTCTCAGAAAAGAAAAAGAAAGAAAAAAAAATTAGAAACGGCGCGTTCTCCTCTCTTCCACTGACGCATCCAAGCACACAGGAGACGAAGAGAGGAACGAGAGATTTTTCTCCCCCAGGCACGCGGGAAGAAATTCCGCCTTTCCGCCCCATCTTTTTATGGTTTCGTTTTTAGAGCACATCGCTAAACATTTTTGCGTTGATCGGGATTCAGCGGCCGCAAAGGCCGGCTGTAATCCCGTCTCCCAGCCCCAAATCCCGGAACATATTGGGTGCATTGACGAGTTTACAACTAATTTTGTCAAACCAGAAAGCAAAGCCTTTACAAACAGCTTAGTTCGGGGGCATTTCCAGCAGCGATACGTAAACTGGGCTAAGATGGCCTTTTCCGAATTTCGAAACCATGCCGAACGACGTGACGCCTTTGACGACGTTATAAAAATCGCGGAAACTGCGTCAAAGACTGGCAGATGCTGCTGGCGGATGCCTTCCTGTCTTCTGTGCTGCGTTCGGCTCCGTTTTGTTATGCTGAGTGCACACCGACCATCAACCTGCTTTTGAATTTCTGCGTGACAGCAACCTAGCAGCAACATCACGATGGCAGTGTTATGCGTTGTGAACAAACAAAACTAGAATTGTCTTTGATGTTTCCATGTGTTCGCGTATCCGTAAGTTAACAGCAAGGTGGGTAACGTAAATCGTCGCAGGTTGTCATCTTGCTTTAAATTAAAGAGTATAAGGTCACTTGAGTGCTTACGGTGAAATCGATCGATCTGTGGATAGTAATGTTGTAACGTTGGTCTTAAACGTAACTCCCGTTGTGTAGTATTAAATGTGACTGTCGTCTGCAAACTTCGTGTTGTCCACACCCCGAGAGCAATTGCGATCTGGACGGGGGATCGAGCAGTCTTGAAATATGACGGAAAGCACGTATATTTACATTCGCCAGTTTTAGTATTAAGAAACTAAATTCGTCAAAAAAGCTAATATGTATTTTGAAGTTTATTTATCGTACGGTAACTGGAGAAACTGCTTCCTAACTGGATGATGGGATGAGCGCTGGAAGTTTTAGAGCTTACGACGGCGTAGATTTACGCACTTAAATCCTGCCGCAAATCGCGGCTTGGACCGTATTCATGTTGGCTGAAAAATATTTTCTTTGTCCGCAATGCATCGCTTCCAACGAAGTGAATATCCCCTCTACAGAGATTAATTCAAGACGACAATTGCAGCCGCACGGAAACAGCACAAAACGACAGCAAATACTACAATAGAAAAACTGGCGTCTTTCTAGCCGTTTTATGACGTGCTGTGTGGCGATGCAAACACATCTCTGGGAACCGCAGTGGAGTGGCTTGTTTTATCAGCTTTCAGGAAATTACGGCATAGGCGTTATTTACTTCTAAAAAATTCGTCCCCTGCGTCGTTCAAAATACTTTCGGAGGCATGACATTAATGACAAAAAATCATCATGCTGGGAATATTATTCATTGCTTCGGTGCTCTTCGAGAAAATCTGTACATTCAAAACGAAGAGTATAAAAGGCTGAAGCGGAGAGGTCGCAAGTAGTAATCGGGGTAGTGTGATTTTGTTTCCGGCTTCCTATAGCGGCGGTCGCAGAATGACTAGCTCCTCCGGAGCGGCGATAACCCCTTAGCGAAAACTAATACGTTTTAAATATACCACTTTCTAATTTGAGTGTATTTGAAATACAATTCATAGTTGTAAGTACACGAAAAATATACCGAAAATATAAACTTCTTTTTTTGTTACTTAGTACTAAAATATACTTCTAAAAATCATTTTAAAATATCTTTACTTAAACTACATTTGAAGTTCCCTTCATGTGTTTTGAAATATGTAAATACTAAATTAATAGGCACAAAATACCTTTCACATATATTTCTTGAAATATTTATTTAATTCATGCAAAGTATACTTCAACCCTAAAAAAATGGAGCAATCAAGAATACGTGCAGAATACTCTTAAAATACCTGAAAATCGTAAATACTGTTGTGTTATACTCTAAGTACCTTTTGACTGCAATACTTTGGTAGTTTGACTTAAACTACCAAAATATTTAAAAGCTCCCCTTCTGAAGTTCACTTCAAGCAGATATGGAGTACACTGAAGCGCCTAAATACATTTGATTAGTTTGGCAATTGAATTGCGCAGCATCGCACTGATAAATCAGCCCAGTTTATGTTATTGTTTCCTTTTTTCTATCAAGAACACACCTGATCAGTTCCTTGCACACCAATCACAAACGGGGTTCGGGAAGTACAACCACAACATTTGCTGATGCTGGAAAGCTTCAGCAGGTGCTGTGAACAGATACGTTTGGCGTGGTTTTGTTAGCACAATGTTAGTTCACTGAACGTGTATACTCACCATTGTTCGTGATGTGAATAGTGACTTTAATACAGTGACATTAACTACCATATTAAATAGTCAACTACTAAAAAGGAAAGGCAAAACAACTACTGTAAAATATTTATTTTTCGCGGGCTCAATATTTCGCTATTTAGATCGAAGTTGGAGTTTTGGAATAATTCGCAAATTCTAATTTTCGCGACGCGCTGGGATTGCAATATAGATTTTAATGTTTTTACATTTTGCCGGAATTGTTCACGGGACCTAT